TCTCCAAACAGTGATTATGTCCGACAGAGCTCATTACTGTCGACTCAACGGGCCCTTCAGAAGAGTCACTCACTGGTAATGACCCCATTATTGGCTGAACATGTTGAGGGTGGGGTCAACTACCCCCTGTGGACGGACGGGTCGGACTGTCTCACTGTACGGCTCTGTTTAGTTGTAGCATTAAAATTAGGGATGTTCGTTAATAACTTTTTGCCAATATGCGATATTGTCCAAACATAATTTCCGATTCCGATATCAACCGATACTGATACAGCGGGGAAGGGGTGACCTAGTGGTTGAGGATGGTAAGTGCAGCCTGCTCACTAAGGTGATAGGTTAAAGTGGTGTTTATCAATTATTTTCTGCCATGCCTCCCCCTAAGGGGCAGAAGTTTTTCATCCCCTGCTCACCACCCGACTTCAAATACTACTGAATACCTGGTAGTATTTTTTTATTTATATCTGTACAAACCACTGTATGAGTATGAGATTATTTAAATGAGCCGCAGTGCTGCCCTCTAGTGACTTTCACTTTCATATACAGCTGGTTTTTCTCCAAAACTATTTTCAGAGCACACGCATTTATATTAGTTATCGGGTTTTCATTATCGGACGAAGAAAAAAAAAAAAATCTTGTCTAACGGATTTGACATAATTATGCTAATATTAGTTACTGTATATCCGATATTATTGATACATTTCTAACTAAAATCTAGAACCTTCTAGTGGAATTCCAGGACCTTCCAGTGGAGCGTGACGCGTGACTCATGTGATCAAACGCGTGGAATACGCACCGGCGACGGCCGGTACTTGACGTGAATCCGATCAAAGTCTGGGTGCGAATCAACAGAGATTAGAGGTCTGACGGTCTGAAGGGTGGAACACAAACGAGACCGTCGGCCGGCGGAGCAACTTCACAGTCAACTAACAGGACGGTGTCATGAAACTGATGACGAGGGCAATTCAAACGCCCCACACCCCGGCCCCTGCCCCACCCTTCTTTTGAGTGCAAATGGGATTTAGATTTATGTAAACAAAAAAAAACAAAAAAAACAAACAAACACAATCCTTTGACTTCAGGGAAGCCATTTTGAATTTTTCTCTTTTTTTTCGTTCGCACTTTGCCTCACATACGTACACAAACGTAGTAATTCCGAGATGTCAACTTCATAAAGACATGTCAAAGGTGTAAAAACTGTATTTCAACCCCCCCATCTCCCCCACCTCCCCCCCCACACACACATAATAAACCAAGGACT